TTTTTTTTTTTTAATTTCTTTCTAATTAAAAAAATTTTAAACATGCCCAAGAGGAAAGGATAAAAAAAACTCCCTGGTCTCCATCCATCTTCCTGCTTCCCAGGTGCCCACTCACGGCAGTCTCGTTCATCCCGCACACCCACATCCCACCTCTGGATTGTTTTGAAGCACTTCTCAGGTGGTTCAGTTTTCTGAACAGTATCTCTAAAAAGTTTGGCTTTTTTGAAGTATAACCATACTACCATTATCATACCTAGAGCCAGGAAAGCAATTATTTCATATCATGTAATATAAAACACAACAATATTAGAACATAACATATACTCATTGTAAAAAGAAAAAAAGGTATATGGAGCATATATAAGGCCAGAGCACCCTGCCCTTTTGTCCCACCTTCCCTGGGCTAACAACAGGCACTGATAGATCTGGGGCCATCTGCCAGCCTTTGGTTGTGCATACGCATGTGGCTATGGGTTATGTGTGTGTACATATATAATATACTAGTAATGAAACAAGGCAGGGTTGACTGTGCTATGTGTGCTGTTTTGTTCCCTGGTTTGTTTTTTATCACTTAACAATGTCATAGACAGTTTTTCGTGTCATTTCTCACAGACCTAGCTTATGCCTTGTAATGGCTTGAATTCATTATATATGGAGGTGTCATAATTTTTTGCTGTTTCCCTAATGACCTGCCATTCACTTCCAATCTCTCTTCTCAATGCCCAGTTCCCTCTTGTAGGGCTTCCCAGCCCTGTATACCCCACTATGGCAAGGCCCACTTGGAAGCTCTCTGCTTCGAGGCAGCTGCTGTTGATTACAAATTGCCCTTCTCAAAGGGCTCTCCCAGGACTTCCTACATCCGAACTCTTCTCAAATCCATGCATAGCAACTTTTTGTGGCTTTGGTTATTTTGTAACACAAAATACTCAATGTACAATCTCTGTCTTTTTATATTTTTTTATACTAAAAAGAATATTCAAACTTAAAAGTTTGGAAATTTCCAGTTTGGAGTATTCAAGTTATCTTTTGCAACAGATGTTTTAAATCAGGGTTAAGGGTGGTTTTTAATCGAGGTTAAGAATTTGAAATCAAAAGTTATATATTTTTGGTTTATGCTATGTCCTAAAAGTTGGACAAGCTGTCCTTGTCTTTTTTTTTTTTTTTAATTTGAGTGATTATGCTTCAGTTTCACAGCTTATTTTTCAGCAGTACACACCCAAATGTGAAAACCAGAGCAGTGAAACTTGAGTCAAGATAGCTGGGCATAGGATAAGGCAGCAGTGACACTACAGCTGTTGGGGGTCCCTGCCTAGTCAAGAATGAGCCCCTCTTAGTAGGGAAGGTGGCATTTTGCTAGTTGTTTGCTAAAAGAGGATATTTTAGTTTGAAATTTTAATTTTTTTTCCTTTTAAAGTTTTTCTTATTCAAGATAAATGTGTAACTTTAAATAAAGTAATATTCAGGTGAAATCAGCCTTTTTTGTGGGAAATGAAATGGTGTGTCAAATGATCAAGCTATAATGTGATTATTTTATTTTCTGTTATTCTGTGCTTTTTGTGAACCAGGGTGGGCTCTAGGTGAACATGGAGAATGGGCCAAATACAGCAATTTTGATGTCACTACTCACGTACCCCTGATGTTGTATGTTCCCGGAAGGACGGCTCCGCTTCCGGAGGCAGGAGAGAAGCTTTTCCCTTACATTGACCCTTTTGATTCCATCTCAGAATTGATGGAGCCAGGTATAAAATATGCCAAAGTGATATTGCTTGACAATAATAGCTTCTTTAGTTTATATAAACCACCTTACCAAATCATAGGCTAGGGGCTTACCCAGTCCACTTTCCTGACAAGTGTTGGCATTCCTACACGTTTCCTTTCCATGTTCTGGGTCAGGGAGGACCAGCAGGGCCAGAGCTGACAAGTATGGCCCCTGTTCATGAAGAGCCATGGATGTCAGGGGGGGTTGGAGACAAAGAAACAGGAGGCATCCCTGGGATGGGGAGGGCTATCATAGAGGTGACAGACAACAGCAGACTACTCCAGAACTCAGGAAGTAGGTAGCAGATTTGGCCAGAGCAGGGGCTGTCCTCCCTCCCCTGCCATACACACACAAAAATGAGCAGAACTATATTACTTCCACACTTCTGACAGGGACTTGGCCCTTTGCGACAGATGGGCATTTGCCATTTTGGCAGCTCATCGATCTAGTGAACATTACCAGATCTATAACATTACCAGGTGATTCTCCTCTTCTCTCGGATGAAATCCCCAGTCCTTTCCTCTCAAGATACTGTTAGACTCATGGTTATCTTGGTCTCTGTCTTCCAAAATACCCCAGTTTCAGAAAGCAATTCCAGAAATGTCTCTTGACAGGGTAGTGTTTTTGTGAGTTGTCTCCTGACTTGATCTGCTCAGTGCAGAGATGAGGCATTTACTTTAGACAACATTTGCTCTTTTGGGAGTCCTGTTTCTCTGAACTCTGCTAAAGCAGATTGCTCCCTTTCTGGAGTTCTTCATTTAATCCATCTTTAACATCTACATTCTGCACTTTATATTGATTCCTGTTTAATTTTTTTCCTGGTTTTGGACCATCATTCTGGCCTTTCTGTATCTTTCCAAGTTTGCTTTCTACTGCCCAATTTTATTTTTTATACATTTGATTTTTGTGTGCTGCATGCTCTCTCTTGTTTCATATCATTGATTAAAAGGTTAAATAGTTTAAAGGAATGATTATAGCCCTTTGTTTACCTGGAGAAATCTTCTGACAGATTAAAAATTCTTTTTGAAACTTTTGTTGGCAACTTATAAAGTCACAAAATTGCACTGTCATCCTGTTCATTTCCAAATTTTGTCTATAGCTTGTATCTCTTTTCTGAACTTTGGACTTAGATTTCCAACAGCTTGTCCTTAACATTTCTCACCACTTCACTGCCATCACCGTGGACCACACTGCCACCATTTCTTCCTGGATTACTGGAACAGGTTGCTAAGGTCTCCTGGGTGTGCCCTTGATCCCCTAGAGTTGTTCTTGCTCATAGTAGCCAAAGTGATTCTATGCTTTCCTGTCTTACTCTGAGCAAACTGAGTAAATTGTCCTTACAATGGCTAACAAAGTCTGATGTGATCTGGCCCCATTATCTTCCTAACCTCATCTTTTTACAAGTGTCCAGGACAGCTGTCTTGTGCAGTGGCCCAAATGGAATTATCCAATTGTTTTCTCATGACTAGATTCAGGGAAAACATTTTTAACATGTACACTATATCTGAGCTTGTGGGCTCCCATTATATCACATCAGGGTACTTCCTGACAGCCTGTGCCATTATTAGTGATGCCAGGTTTGATCATCTGGTTAAGGTGGTCATGTCAGCCAGGTCTTGCCATTGTAAAGGTAATCTGCAGGATGGTACTATGAGACTCAGAATATTGTGTTCCTTAACAGACTTTTACTCAGTGATTATGGGCCTCCATTGATGATCCTTGTTTGAATTAATTATAAACTGGTGGTTCCAAAATTCCAATAGTTTTTAAAAGTCCCAAAAGGCTGAAGACACTTTCATTTTGTATCCTGCTATTGGGTGAGGGCCTGAGTTGGCATTGTTTCTAAAATTCTTATGCTAAAAATATGTTATTTTTAAAAAAAGACAATTTGTGGAGCCCAGATGGGCTCTGTTACTTATTCTGCCTGGCTGTGGCAGGATTCTGTAATGTAACCCATTTTTCTGCGTCTTTTTCTCCTTCAGGCCGGCAAGTCATGGACCTTGTGGAACTTATCTCTCTCTTCCCCACACTCGCGGGACTTGCAGGATTGCATGTTCCACCTCGCTGTCCCATTCCCTCATTTCATGTGGAGCTGTGCCGAGAAGGCCAGAGCCTTCTGAAGCATTTCCGATTTCATGACTTGGAAGAGGATCTGACCCTCCATGGTAATCCCCGTGAGTCCATTGCCTATAGCCAGTATCCCCGGCCTGCAGACTACCCTCAGTGGAATTCTGACAAGCCAAGTTTAAAGGATATAAAAGTCATGGGATATTCCATACGCACGATTGACTATAGGTATACTGTGTGGGTTGGCTTTAATCCCCATGACTTTCTGGCTAACTTTTCTGATATCCATGGAGGGGAACTGTATTTTGTAGATTCTGACCCTTTGCAGGATCATAATATGTATAATGACTCCCAAGGTGGATACCTTCCCCAATCATTGACACCTTGAGTTGTGACAACCATAGAGGGCATAGATAATGTGCTTCCTTCTAGCTGGTGACAGAATGAGTTAGAGCTGGTTATTTTGATTATTCTTAATATGGGAAGAAGTCTGAGGGGCATGCAATCAAAACGTGCATCACCAGTTTGGCCTAAGAATATATAACAGGCAAACATTTTGATTTGGTCTTTATTAATTTCTAATTGTTAATTGAACTGGGGCTTGGCTGATCCTTTCCTTTTTGTTTAACAGTCATAGCTTATTTATTGAATGGATAAGTTGAGAGTGAGCAAACTGAAGTCGTTGTTCCTTTAGATATCAGACCATAATAACCAAACATAAAGCTACATTCTAGAAATACTATTATTTATGGAACTTAGTGCATTTCACAAAGTAAGCATATACCAAATTAGATTTGACACCAAGTTTCTGGTTCTTTTGTTTATAATTTATCTTATTTAGCCCAATGTAGTAAAAATATTGTCAACATGTAATCCAGGTTTCTTTTTAAAATGTAAAGTTAAATAATAATGCTAGATGCCAAACTCTTAAAATCTTATCTTAAATTTTTGTTTCCAGGATTGCAAAATTTCAAAATTCAAAGATAAATTTATATGAAGTGATTAATGTGGAATTTCTACATTGAATAATAAATAATACTCAGTAAACTAGATATGAAATGTATGAGAAATTCAGTTAAAATTTTTTAGAGACTTTCTGACTTAAATAATAATTTGTAAGTAAATAATATGACCCACGGACCCAAAGGCCATCTATTAAAAGACATTGTTATTTACAATGGCAAACAGTTAAAGGCATAACTGTATCCATGAATTGAGTTACTCACAACCTTATTAGTGTTCTTCCTCAAGGGTGTTCTCTTGCAGACATTCATTTATCCAGGATTCAAGAAATATTCTACTTTTAATTACTGATTAAAGAAAACATTAATTTTATTAAATTCTAAATTATTTTGAGAATTGTGAAAACTTTTCATTAGTATAATATTAGGTAATTTCTATTCCCCAAGAATATAGTTCTATATTCCCTAAATATGGAAGTAACCAAAAATACAGGGGGTAGTGATAAGCTTAGCCTATGTCATCTTAAAAAGGATGCAATATTCACAACTCATATTTTCCATATGTTGAAGCTGATTAATTATCATTAGTCATCAGAAGAGTAATCCACTTTCTAAATAAACATCTAATGTAGTCCTGTATCAAAGAGACTAATTCTTAGTATTTCTGTCTGTACAAGTGCTTCATTGTTTAAAGGGAAATGTTTGTGAAACAAAATACAGCAAATTAGGGTAAGTTACTGTAGTATATTAAATGGTAACCAAAAAAGGCAAGATATTATATTAAAAGATTACCTAAAATCAGTAAAATTTCAGAAAGGTGTTTTTTTTTAATTTGTTTTTTGTTTTTACTAAATAGCCCACAATAGAGGTATATATGGTAACACAGTGACCTTCTAAATGATTGACTCAGTGTTCTGGCAACAGTAATTTCTACTTCAGGAGCAAAGGCCTTACTCATCTCCCCCATTCCTGAAGCTCACCTCTCTGTGGAAGTCTCAGCTTCACATGTAGATGGTTTCCCTCAGCGTTTTCTTTCTATGCTTCATCTTCTTCATGGCACTTAATCATTTCCACTAAGATTTTTACAATCCAATCTGTAAATTTCTCATGACATAGCTTCAGTGTATTTAGCTTTATTTCCTACTCCATAATTATAACACAGGGTTTTATTTTGCATTCATTTGTTGTTCCTGTTGGCTACAATATGTACACTCATCATTTTTTCTCACTTGATTTCTTGAAGCAGTTTTATTATCAAAAATCTCTAAATTCTGCTCTTATTGAAATCATAAGCTGAACTATGCCAGAAGAGAGTGAAGTCAGATGTGCATCTGTCATTTTGACAGTAATTTACCTGTGTTACCAAAGCCACATCTGGGTCTTGCATGTTGATCTGTCTCTGCTGAAAGTGCTTCTGCCTTATCTTTGCTACAAGAGTGGGTGTAGCATCAGAATGCTTCAGCTCTCCTTAGGTTGTAGTTTTTCTTTGCCTCCCTTTACAGATGTCTCCTTTTAGAAGTGAAAGCTGCATTTCACGTTCAGTACCATGCTTTTCTAATTCATCGAACAGGTTATGGTTGCTTTTTTTCTTTTTGATACTGAACCCAAGTTAGAGACACTTTTGTTTCCTTTTGCATGTCTCCAACACACAGTGGGATAAGCAGCCACTTCTGGTTTTTAGGTATCAAAGCTGACCATGTTCTTTATCTTGACTTAGTTTAAATAAACCACATCTTTGCTGTTTCACATAACATTTATCCAATCTCACTGATCTGTACATCTTTTAAAAAAAAAAAGTCTTTATTGATTTCAGAGAGGAAGGGAGAAGTAGAGAGAGATAGAAATATCAATGATGAGAGAGTCATTGATCGGCTGCCTCCTACACGTCCCCTACTGGGGATCGAGCCCGCAACCTAGACATGTGCCCTGACTGGGAATCGAACCGCTCTCTCCTGGATCATAGGTCAGCGCTCAACCCCTGAGCCACACTAGCAGGGCTGTACATCTTTTATTAATGGTTCTCCAGTCACTTTGTAGAAAGTCCCATTTCACTTGACCAAGGGTTCTTTTATATAGTTCAGTTGAAACCAGAATAAGTGATCCTAGAAATTTTGAATAGTCCTAATTCAGTAGCTCACAAATAGGTGGGTACATCAGAGAACCACCCGAAGGGCTTGTTAAAATCCAGTGCTGGGGCCTGCCCAAATGCAAAGGTTCTGATCCAGTGTGTCTGGGTGAGGCCTGAGAATTTGCATTTCTTACAAATCACCCTGCTCCTCTAAAGACCACACTGTGAGAACCACTACCCCTATGTGTGTGCTGTCCAGTAGCCACTAAGCACATGTGACTTTAATTTTAAATTAGTTAAAATTAAATAAATATTTCAAAATCAGAATCTCAGTTGCACTTGCTATATTTCAAGTGCTCAATGGCCACATGTGGTTGGTTAGTGGCTACCATATTGTACAACACAGATCTAGAACCTTTCTGTCATCACAGCAAGTTGATTGAATGGAGCTGCTCTAGATCAACTGAGTTTGAGCTGGATCCACCTGGTTGTTGGCAAGTTCTTCCTGTGGCTTGATTCTCTACCCTGGGTTTGGCAGCAAAGCCATATGCAGAAGTGAGTGAAGTGTGTTTTGTTTAAGCGTAGCATAGGGAGTTTGCTCTGGCAATCAGCCTCTTTTTCTCCATTTCCATGGCCATCGCCTCAGCCCTTCTCACCTCCTTCCCAAGTAGTTTACCCACCCCTCCTCTTTCCTCCCTCGTCCCTAAAGAATCCATGTGTCTTCCTGAAATCCCTATTTGATCCTGCCCTTTGAGAACACCGTTAGTGCCTACTACTGGGTCTACACAGACCTCCGCTGAGCAGTCAGAGTCTTCCCTGACTCCACAAAGCCCCTTTCCTCGGTTGACCAGTTTGCATACTGGTCCCGCACTCTCCTTTGCCAATCCCTGCCTCCCTATCCACCCCTAGGTTTTCCTCTTCTCCCTTCACCATCCATTCACTATCATTCTTCACACCCTGCTCCCACACTCCCACCTACAAGAGGCTGAGGGTTTGTGACTCTCTAGACTACATCATGGGATGAAGTGAACATCACCAAAGAATCTTGTGGTCCTCTTACTTAAAAAAGGCATTTTTGTTGATTATAAAATTGTGTTAATTATAGAAAAATTGGAAGATAGAAATGTAGTAAAAGGTAAGAAAATGCATCAGTATTTTACCCCAAGATAGTCACTTAATATCTTGTCTTTTTTGGTGTGTGAATTTTTACATAGTTGTGATCATAGTATGTGCTTTATTGTGCAATTTTGTATTCTTGTTTTTCTCTTCCACTATTACATGTTGTTATTAAAGATTTTTGCGAAGATGCTTTATACTGGTTAGAATATATTTTATTGTGTAGTTTTATCAATTTACATAGCCTTCTTTCAATTATTCAAAGTTTAGGTTATTTCCAAATTTTGTAAATAATTGTAAATAATGCTGTGATGAATAACTTTTTGAATATAATTTTTTATGTATTTCAAATTCCTCTCTTAGGATAGTCTTTCAGTGCCACATTGTCAAAAGCTTCTCTATTTTGCTCTTCTTCCCACTCTCCTGCTACCTTAGGGTAGTGAAACTAAAAATAAAGCAAATAAGCATACAAATAAAAACCATAAAACCAATAAAATCCCTGAAAACCCACCGCTAACAATAATAGATAAAAGCGGTATCATGTTTTGCCTTCTAATTCTTTGCTCATTGATGAATTTGATCATCTCCTCTTTGTACTATTTTGGACATCTGTATTTCCAGGATGTGAAATTGCCTTTTAATTTGGATTATGGGTTTCACTTTTTAAGTAATGAAACAAATTGCTCTTTTCCTATGTGATTTTTCCTCCCTGTATTTTCCTGTTAAACCTGGAGAACTTTCTCAATCTGGTGACTGAATAAATATTCATAGTCCTTTGTTTTTTTGTGGTTTGGTTTTATACTTGATTTATCCTGACTTTCTACCCCACTAGCAAAGTAACACATGTTCACTGTGGAAAATGATGATGATGAAAAGTCCACCTTCCAGAATATAACCACTATTGACATGTGCATTTTTTCTGCTATTTTCTCACCTACATATGTACAGATATGGACATTTTTATCTTTACATAGCTGAAATTTACCACGTACAATCCTGTATCCTGCTTTTTTGATCTAAAATAATGTTAATGTGGTTTTTCGTGTAAGTGACGATTCTTGGTTAGCAGTTGTAATGGCTTTACCTTCCTATACTAATCTTTCAACTGAAATTCTCAATTTGTATGCATTTTTAAAAACTGTGGTAAAATACACGTAACATGAAATTTACCGTCTTAAACATTATTATATGTGCAGTTCAGTGGCAATAAGTACACTCACATTGTTGTGCTATTGTCACCTCCATCCATCCACAGAGCTCTTATCCTCTTGCCAAACTGAAACTCTGTTCCCATTAAACACTATCTTTGCATTCTTCCCCTCCCTCTAACACTTGGCTCCCACCATTCTATTTTCTGTCCCTATGAATTTGACTACTCTAGGAACCTCATATAAGTGGAATCATACAATATTTGTCTTTTTGAGTTTGGCTTATTTCACTTAGAATAATATTGTTAAGGTTCATCCATGTTGTAGCATATTGCAGAATTTCCTTTTTAAAGGCTGATTAATGTTACATTGTATGGATTGGCCACGTTTTGTTTATCCATTCATCCCTTGATGGACACTTGGTTTGTTTCTAATTTTTGGCTATTGCAAATAATGCTGCTATGATCATGGCTATACAGCTATCTGAGTCTCTGTTTTTCATTCTTTTGGGTATATACCCAGCCTACATTCATCTTTAATCATTTAAAAATGTTGGGGTGTGTGCTGAGACATGAGCAACGTAACTCTGAAGGAACCTCACCCAGTCTACAGAGGGCAAGATTTCTCTGAATGATGGATGACAAAGGCTGGCTCTTCTCCCCTCTAGGGCCAACCTCACTGATGCCTGCCAGGTTCCCAAGGCACCATGTGAGGCGCTTTGGGTATAAATTCAGAAACTGGGTTTATCCCCTTCTCCTTGCCCAAATCCAACCTGAAGTTATAACTCCTCTGAGGAGTCTCTTGAATTCTGGCCTCAGATCCAGCATTGAAATAGAACCCAGCTGTCCCCTTTGGTCTCCACCCATTTCCTTTTTTGGCCTTAGGTTTAGCCTATTGTGGTTGAGCATGCTGTCAGCCTAGCCCGTCTCTGCCCCAATGCACTCTGTGTCCCCTTAGCACTCCTGGTCAGTCTCTTTTCTGCTCATGAGAACTTGAAGCTGAGAGGGCTGTCATTAATTGGTGCCCTCGGATTGCTCATAGTGTTGCCATGGTAGGTAAGAGCCCTCCCTGTTCTCAGGACTTGCCTTCCCCATGCTGTTGAAGCTCCTGCTGGCATCCCTGTCCATTTGCCCACCTGGTGGTGCAGGTGCCACTTTCCTCTGAAGTGTCTGCTGAAATACTGGCAGTCTGATGTTGTGGTGAGCCTACCTTCAAGGGCTTTTCTTTGTGACAGAGTTTGCTGGCTGTTACTCCACATCCCACACAAGATCACTGGCAGCCAATGGTGCTAGTCACCGAAAGATACCCTTGTTTGACTCTGGATTCTTAGATCTCTGATGGGGGTGAGTCCAGGCTGAAGAAAACAAACATGGCTTGGGAAGGCTCTAAATGAGGTGTCTTGAAACCACTTGCATGTGCCTGCACAGGATCACGTGGCAAAGCCCAGGCAGGAGGAGCAGAGTCCCACTGCCAGCAGGGAACAAAGGTCTAGTGTATTTGGTACCTACTAGGAAGCAAGAGTTAGGATGTGGGCAAAGAGAGGAGCAAAGGCCAGTGGTAAACTGCTGTTGCTTTATTCTGCCTGTGAAGGTCAAGAACCATTGCTTTATATGAGTAAGATGGTTTGGAGTAGGACTGAGGCTGACCTTGACACAGCCCTTGTCCTAATTTATCGTAATTTTGGTTGTGTTTTGGAAAGAAACTTTTACAGGTGATTTATATTCAAAACTCTTCGTTTACTTAACGGGTTTTATGAATTCGTCTCTTCCATGCTGTTAAAAAGATATTTGTGTTAAGGGTAGCATGAGTTATTGTATGATTAAATCATGTTAAATTTGCCATTATCATTCTGTGTACAATCCTTCCTGTTGTTTTGGGACTGCTTGATGCTTCCTTAAAATAAATGAAACCATTTAACAAATCTTGATACTGCGGTACAGGTTTGCTCTCTTCCAGTATCCAAAATGTTCCCATCCATGTGAGGATAGGGCAAGTAGGGGTGAGTGGCTCTTGAGTGTAGAAATGCCTTTCTGAGCAGTAATATTTCTCCAAGCTTGCCCTGAAGTTAGAAACTCCTCAGAAAGAAGGAAGTGGGGTGATCAGTCACGTGGGCCTTTGTTTAGGGAAACCAGATATGCAATAGCAGCCACTTAAAAGAGAACTGACTCATCTTCTTGAAGGAAATGCGTGAGTTCCTGAGGTTTCAACTGGAAAAGTACCTACTTCGTGCCTTGACTTAAGTGCGCTTTGATGAACCTTGATAGTTACTAAACAGGTGGGCCCCAGAACCAAGAAGCTAGGGGGGTGACACAAGGGAGCAATGTGATACATACAAACCTTTAGCATTTTGGTCAAGAGCTTATGATGGGGACTTAGTGTAAATAGTTGCCAGGAAGTGAAAGGAA